TTTTTTTTTTTTTTTTTTTTTGGTACCAGGGATTGAACTCAGTCCTTGTACTTGAGAGGCAGGCGGCTGAACCACTGAGCTAAATCCCCAGTCCTAAGTATGTTTAGTTTTGTAAGAAACTGCCAAACTGTTTTCCGGTGGCCAGATCATTTTCCCACCAGCAGGGAATGAGTTCCTGTTGTTCCACGTCTTTGCATGCAGTTGATGCTGTCTGTTTCACAATGTGGCCACTCCACTAGGTATGCGCAGGTATCTCATTGTTTTAACTTGCATTTTCTTAATAACGTGATGTTGAATATATTTTTCTATGCATATTTGCATATGTTCTATGCATATCTGAGTATCTTCTTTAATTATGTGTCTGTTCAGGTCTGTGCCCATTGTTTTTAGTATACGTGCTGCCGAAGCGAGCATAAGTCTGTGCCCATTTTTAAATCAGGTTGTTTGTTGTATAGCACTAGGGATTGAACTCTCATGGATCTTCCTCCTGAGCTACATTCCCAGCCCTTTTTCTTTTTTATTTTGAGACAGGGTCTTTCTAAGTTGCTAAGTTGCCCAGGCTTGGTTCAAGCTTGCAGTTTTCCTGACTCATCCTTACAGAGTGTTGGGATTATAGATGTGCACCACCACACCTGGCTCAAGTTTTAAGAGTTCTTTGTGTATTTTGGATAATAGTCCTTTATTAGATATGTGTTTTGCAAATATTTTTTCCTATATGTGGTTTGTGTTCTCATTCTCTTCACAGGGTTTTGTTGCAGAAGTTCAATTTATCAATTATTTCCTTGATGGACCAAGCCTCTGGTGTTGTATTTAAAAAGTCGTCATCAAATCCAAGGTCACCTAGATTTTTTCCTGTATTATCTTCTGGGAGTTTTGTGGATTTTTTGTTCTTATATTTGGGCCTATGAACCTTTTGAGTTAATATTTGTGACAGGTATTAGATTTATTGTCTAATTCATATTTTTCCATGTAGATAATCTAGTTGTCCTGGTACCATTTTTTGTACATATGTTCTTTTCTCCATTGTATTGACTTTGCTCCTTCTTCAAAAATCACTTAACTAGATTTATGTGAATCTATTTGTAGGCTTTCTCTTCTCTTCCACTGGCTTATTGGACCATTCTTTCATCAATACCATGCTGTCTGGAATACTACAGCTTTATAGTAAGTTGGGCTGTATCAGTTTCCCAATTCTGTTCTTGTCCTTCAGTCTTTTTGTTTGTTTGTTTTGGTACTGGGGATCGAACTTGGGACCTTGTGCTTGCAAGGCAGGTGGTGGAATCACTGAGCTAAATCCCAGGCCCTGTCCTTAGTCTTGCTAAGTCTTTTGCCTCTCTACATATTCAGAGTCAGTGTGTCACTCTCAATTGGCTGTGATAAATGAGTCTTTTTATGCATTGTTGGATTCAATTTGCTCATATTTGTTGAAGATTTTTGTGTCTTTTATTTATTTACTTACTTACTTACTTAGTGGGGGGGTCAAACTTGGGCCCTTGTGCTTGCCAGGCAGGCGGCAGAACAACTAAGCTAAATCCCTGGCCCTGTATCTGTGTTAGTGAGAGATGCTGATCTGTTGTTTTCTTTTCTTGTAAAGCCCGTATCTGGGTTTTGGTGTTAAGAATAATTCTGGTCTCAAAAAGAGTTAGGATGAAGTTTTTATGCTTGTATGTCCTGGAAGAGATAGTAGGTAATTTGTATGTCTTCCATACAGTTCAACAATAGAATTAACCAATGAAACTATCTAGGCCTGTTTTTTGAAGCTTACTATTGATTAAATTCGCTAATAGACACAGACCAACTCAGATTGTCTATTTTTATATGAGTTTTTGAAAGTTATATCTGCCAAGGAGTTGATGCCTTTCATATAGGTTGTCAAATTTATAGGCATAAAGGTATTCATAGTGTTCACTTAACATTTCTTTTGATGGGATCTATAGTGATGTGCCCTCTTTCATTTGTTTTTAGAAGTTTGTGTCTTCTCTAATTTTTCTTTAATAAGCCTGGCTAGAAGCCTATCACTTTTATTGATCTTTTCAGATAATCTCTTTTTGGTTTTGTTGTTTTTCTCTCCTGATTTCCTATTTTCAGTTATTGTTTTTTGTGGGGTTTTTTTTTCTGCTCTAATTTTTCTTTGCTTCTACTTTCGATTGTATCCATAGATCAAGTTGAAAAGTACTAATCAAGTTAGAGTTAAAATTTTCTTTTTATAGTTTCCTGAGGTGGAGGCTTAGATTATAGATTATTGATTTTACTCCTCCTTCCTCCTCTTTTTTTTTTGGGGGGTAGCCAGTATCAAACTTAGGACCTTGCATTTCTAAGGTAGGCAGGCACAGCACCACTGAGCTAAAGCCCTGGCCCTCATCTTTTCTAATGCATGAATTTGATGATCTACATTTCCCTCTCAATGCTACTTTTGCTGTATCCCACAGATGTGGATAAGGTACATTTTCATATAAGTTTAGTTCAAGTTTTTAAAAATTCCTCTTGAAATATCTTCTTTAAATCATGTGTTAGTTACAGGTATGTTGTTTAATCATTAAGTATTTGGGGGAATTTTCAGCTACCTTTCTGTTATTGATTTCTGGCTAGTTCCATTGTCATCTCAAAGCATTGTATAGTTTCTGTTTTCAGACTCAGTAAAGGGTGCTTTAGGGCCCAGCATATGCTGTAACTTGCAGAATGTTCTGTGTGAGCGTGAGAATGAGTATTCTGCTGCCACAGGATTGAAGGAGTCTGTAGATAGCAGTTACATCCATTTATTTGGTTGATGCATGCTGTTGAGTTCAACTCTGTCTTTACTGATTTTCTACCTGCAGCATGTGTCCATTTCTCACAGAGGTTGCTGAAGTCTCCACCTAAAATAGTGGATTCATCTACTTCTTCTTGCAGCTCTATCAGTTTTTGCCTCATCTGTTTTTATGACTCTCTTGTTAGGTACATGTACACTAAAGTCTGTTACATCTTTTTGGAGAATTGACTCCATTTTCATTAAGTGATGCTCTTTTTGTCCCTGATAATTTTCCTTATTTTGAAGTCTGCTTTCTATGAAAGTAATATAGTGATTCAGGCTTTCTTTTCATGAGTGTTGGCATTCAAATACCTTCCTCCATCTTTTCTCTTAATCTATTTGTGTCTTTATATCTAAGATGTATTTCTTACAGGTTAATACATAGTTCTTGTTTTGGGTTTTTTTTTTTTAACTCTACCATGACAATACCTGTCTCCAAATTGGTGTAATTAAACCACTGATATTTGAGGTGATACTGATATAATTGGGTTAATATCTACCCTGTTTGTTACTGTTTTCTACTCATTGCACTTGTTTTTGTTCCTGTTACACTTTTGTCCTTATTTATTTACCATTCATTTATTTTAAGAAAGCAGCATCTCACTAAATAATCATGGCTGGTGAACTTGTGATCCTCCTGCCTAAGCCTCCAAGTACTTTTGTGCGGTTTTTTTGTTTGTTTGTTTGTTTTTTGTTTTTGTACTGGGGATCAAACTTGGGACCTTGCACTTGTGAGGCAGGCTGAGCTAAATCCCTGGCCCTCTACATTTGTTGTTTTAATTGAACATTTTATATGATTCTATGTTCTCTACTTTTCTGGTTTATTAATTACACAATCACCACACTACTACTACTTTCTTTTTCTCTTTTAATGGTTGCTGTAGAGTTTGCAGTATAAATTTTGAACTAACCCAAGTCAATTTTCAAATAACACTATACTATTGCATGGCTCGTTTAAGTACCTTATAATAACAAAATAGTCCTGATTCCTTCTCTTATCCCCATGTTGTTGTCATTCTTCTCACTTATATGAACTATAATCATTGCATGCATTATTGCTATTATTTTGAACAAGCTATTATATGTTAGACCAAGAAAGAATAAGAAAAATAAAAGTTTTGACTTTATCTTCAGTTATTCCTCCTGCTATGGTTTACATTTAAAATATCCCACAGTCTTGTTTTTAGAGGTGGAGCTTTTGGAAGGCGATTGGATGATGGGCGTGTTGTACTTGGTAGTGGATTCATCCACCGATGAGTTCATCTCTGAAGGTGCTGTGAGGAGGTGGGGCCTGGTTAGAGGTCACTGGGGGAGAATGACCTGAAAGGGTGGATCTTGTTCTTCGCGCCTCCCTGCTCTGCTTCCTGGATGCCATGGGGTGAGCAGTTTTCCTCTCCCAGACCCTTTCACATGTTATTTCCACCTTGGACTGAACCCTCTGAAACTGCTGCCAATCAGTGGAGGGTTCTTTTGCTCAATTTGGATGAAAATCACAAATAAGCAAACTACAGTTCCACTAGTGGCTCCTGGGTTTGAATGCCAGTGGCGTTTAATCCTGAATATTATAGCTCTAGGCCCTGAGTGTCAGGAGCCCCAGTCCCTAGTGTTACAGCTCTTAGCAGATTTTTTTAGCTACTACATCAGCTCCTTGGAAGATAAGGCAGCTCTCTAGAGCTCCAGCAGCTTCCAGTGCCTCTGGGGTCTCTGCAGGTCTCTGTCTCTCTTTGCTGCTGGTCTCTTCCAGTTGTTGCCACTGGTTAATGCTATCAGTCTTTGGAGCTGGTACTGGGGATCAAACTCAGGACCTTGTGCTTGCGAGGCAGGCGGTGGAACCACTGAGCTAAATCCCCAGCCCTATAGCTCTTCTTAAAGTGACATGATCTATCCACTTTGCCCAGGATAAGAATTTCAAGCAGATTTTTCCAGGACCACTGAGACAAAGCTTTATTTAGACAAGGCCTGTGCTGTACTACGGGGTGATCAGTACACTGGAGGGAGACTGCTAGACTAATCTGAGGAGTGTTAGGGAAGGGCTGCTAACATAGAGCAGCAGCAGCAGCCTATGCCCATGTTTTGTACATTTCCCAGGCCTGTGAATGACCCAAATTCAATCTGCCACAGTGTCATCTGTGATTGACCCAAATTAAAGCCTTCTGTAGTAGTCAAGGCAGACATTTAGAGTAGACACAGGGCATCCAGGACAACCCAGATATCAAGGCAACAGCTCCATGAAATAGCAGAAATGCTTGCTTGATTGACAGCTGCTACTTCCCTGAGAAAAGGGTGAAGTTGAGATTGTGACTGCCACTGTTTGCCAGGAGTCTCCAGGAGGGTTGGCTGTGTTGGTCATGGCCCATTAGGGTTTGGGGATTTAGGGACCCAGTTCTACCTCAATCTCCATCTTGTCAAGGTTGGTTCCTAGCAGCTCCTTAGAGCATGGGAGCTGGGGAGGGGTGCTGGGACTGTCAGCTGAGCTGGGCCACCTGTCTGCTCAACCCAGAAGGTGGCCTTAGAGTAACTTCAGGGTGACAGAAGACAACCCAGTCTTCCCTCAGGCCTCAGAGGGAGTGAGGTGACAGCTGTCAGTCAGAACATACCCTCCTGGATGTCAGCAGGAGTCTGATGGTTTCTTCTATCTCAGAACTGTGGGCCAAAAGAAACTTCTTTGGCAAGGTGTGGTGGCACATGCCAATAGTCCCAACATATGGGAGGTGGCAGCCAGAGAATTGCTACTATTTTGAGGCCAGCCTGGGCTACATAGTGAGTTCAAGGCCAGCCTGACCTACACAGTGAGACCCTGTCTCACAATGAGTGAATGAATGAGTGAAAAATAAATCTCTCCTCCTTAAATTGTAGGGCATAAGATAGTTTGTCCCCACAATGCCAAAGCAACTAATATATCTCCTCTAGCGCTCTTTCTTCTTTGTATAGATGCAACTTTTGGCCTGCATAATTTTCCTTCTCTCAGAAGAACTTCCTTTAACATTTCTTGAAAGCCAGGTATCCTGGAAATAGTCTCTAAATTTCTATTTCTTGAACAAGCGTTTATTTCCCCTTAAAGTTTTGAAAGATACGATGAATTTGGGGGCTTTTCTCCTTCCTCATCCCCACTTTAAATATTTCACTCTACTCTTCTTGCTTGCATCTTGCATGATCTCTTGAAAAGTCAGGTGTAAGTCTTACCATTTTTCCTCTGTTAGGTAAGGTGCTATTTTTCCCGTGGCTTCTATCAAGATTTGTTTTTAATCTTTTTTGTTTGTTTGTTTGCAGTTGAAATATAATATGCCAAGGTGTACTTTTTAAATTTATTTATTTCACTTGTGTTTTCTGAGTTTCTTGCATCTGCAGCCTGGGATCTGACTTTTGGGGAGAATTCTATCTAGGTTCTTGTCGTTCTTAAATAGTGTGTTACTTTCTCTTTTTCTTCTCTTTCTGATGTTCTGTTACATGTTAAGTGACATTTGTTGCCCCCCACCCAGTTCTTAGATGTTCTGTCCCCCACTCACTCCATCCTGGTCTTTTTCCTCTTTGCTTTTCAGTTTCAGTTCTCTAGCAATACAGCCTCGAGCTCAGATATTCTTTCCTCACCATGTCCACTCTACTAATGAACCCATCAGATACATGCTTTACTTCTGTGGTTTTGTCTTCTAGCATTTCCTTTTGGTTTTTTCTTAGAACAGCCATCTCCCTGCCTTTATTATCTATCTGTTCTTGCAAGCTGTCTGCTTTTCTCACTAAAAACCATTAAAGTGGTTTTAAATTCCCACTCTGATAATTTTAGTATCTCTACTATAGCTGGGTCTGGTTCTGATGTTTACTCTGCTTCTTTAAAGTGTGCTTTTTTGCCTTTTAGTATGTCTTGTAGTTTTCTAAAAGACAGACATGATACGCTGAGTAAAAGAAACTCCAGTAAATAAGCCTTTAGTGATAGGTGGTAAGGGATGTACTGAGCAGGAAGGGAAGTGTTCTCTAGTACTATAATTAGCTGGGCACTGTGGTGTACACCTATAGTCTTGACTACTCAGGAGGCTGAGGCAGGAGCACTGCTTCAGCCCAGGAGTTGGAGACCAGTGGACAAAATATCAAGACCCATTTCATCATCATCATCATCATCATCATCATCATCATCATCATCACCACTCACAACAAAACATCAATCAGTAAAATATAGTACTATGATTAGTGCTCGGTCTCTCAGTGAAACTGTGCCCTGGGCTGTGAACATCTTGTTTTCTCACCCTCCGGTGGGACAGGATGGCTCAAGGGACCTAGACGTAGGTATTCCTTTTCCCTCGGGTTTGTTAGGCTCTACTAAAATCTCTTGAGGTTAGGCTCTGGTAAAATAGTTCCTCTGGAGAATAGGCCCCAAATTCCAGAATAGAGCTGGGGTGTAGCTCAGTGATAGGGAGTTTCATCAGCACCCATCAAGTGCTGGGTTTGGTCCCCAGGATTGCAAAAGAAAAAGAAAAGAAAAACCAGAATGTTCTGGTGTTTTTCATACTGGCTGCATTTCCTGCTGTCTGCCTGCCAGAGGCCAGGGCTTTTTCTTCAGTCTTCTGGATGAGAACACAGCAGTTCTTGAAGGTGAACCCACTGAGGTGTGGCATCCCCTCTGCTTGGATCTCCCTGTAGGCTTTACCTCACACACCTGAGTACACATGGAGGCGCCTGGAGCCACAAGCCTGAGCAGGACACCAGCAGCTCCCTCTGACTGAGCAGGGGCCCACACGGGGCTTGTGTGTGCAGCACAGCTGAAGGAGTGGGGCCTGATAGACCCTGAGGCGTCCTGGAGCCCCCTCCCAAATAGAACCATCCATCTGCACCAGAGGTGGCCCCTGTGAGCTGGCTCCTGGCTGGGCTCCCTCTTATTCCGTTTCCAAAGGAACCATCTGAACACAAAGCAGTCTTCCTTTCCCTTCTTAGGAGTTCACAGCTGCTCCCTGGTGCCTCTTGTGGTGTCCAAGGGGCAGGGCCTAACAGGTGACCTTCGAGCCCCTCCCTCCCCTCTCCCCTGCTGCTCCTGCCCAGCAATGCCAGCTGCTCTCCAGCCTCTCCACCTGGGCTGCCCTTTGGCTCCTCCCCACCACCCAGCCCCTGTGACTCTGGCTCAAGACCCCAGTGGCTCTCCCTTATTCCTACAACCCTCTGCTGCCCCTTCTTCAGTCCTCTCCCTGCCTCTAGTCCATGCTCACTTGCAGCTTTGAAACTTCCTGTGGCTCCCTATTGCCTGTGAGATCAAGTCTTCGATCTTTATCTGCCATGAAGGCCCCATGCCTGGCCCTTTCTGCCAGCTCAGACCGAGCAGACCAGGCGCCTCCCACCCCTGCTGTCACCCCTGTGCTGTACACTGTTCCCTCCATGGCTCACATAACCCCCCTTCTTGGCTGAGTTCTTGAAATTCTTTATTTTGCCTCAATTTGGTGCTAGTTTTACCCACAGTGTACCTGTATCTAATGTGCCTTTCTCTCCTGCATGATTTCCAGCTAGGTGAGACCAGGCACCTTGTCTTAATCTTCCTGTGACCCCACGAGGGCCCTGCCAGTACCTGGTGTAGGAAGGAGGGCTCCGGGGACTGTATCAGCGGGGCCCCTGCTCACTCCATATCTTTGCTCTTGCTTCTTCCACAATGCCCTTCCCGCCTTGGCCATCCAAATCCTACCTGTTTTCTAGAATGAATTCAGCACCAGCTTCCACCAGGAAGCTTATAGTGATGGCTCCTTTTAGTCCCCCAGTCCCTCTTAGTTTTCAGCATTTCCTGGGGCAGGAGGAGTTTCGAATGGACCAGAAGTGTCCTGAAGGTCGGGACCAGGATCCCTTGCAGCACTGTGGTAGCGGGGGGACAGTGCACTAGGCAAGAAAGTGGTCACTCTGCTCCAAGGCAAGGGAGACAGCATCAGGTGCAGGTTGATCCAGCAACAGCAGGGCTCTAATGGAGCCTGAGGGAGGAAGCAGGGGCCACAGGAGCTCAAGGAAGGGTGGCTGCCAGAGCCCAGTCTGCGTGTTCTGATGGTGGAGGTCAGGCTGGCTGGGGAAGGCAATCTGACAGTGATCGGAAAGATAGGAGGCTGCCGCATGGCGGGTTGGGCAGGGGCAGCGACCTCAGCAGGAGATGAGGAGCGGGTTGGCGAGTGCAGGGGCTGTGGAGCCGGGACCCGAGGGCTGTGTCTGCAGAAGCTCACAGCCAGCCAAGGCTTGGTGCAGGGCATCCAGGATGGCCAGGGGGCCCGATCTCCCCTCTGGGGAGGAAGGACAAGCAGGAGTGAGGGTCAGGCTGCCCACTGTGTCCCACAGAGCTGCCTCCTCCTCCTGGTGCCCTCCTATTACCACGTCCTGTACCACTACCCAGCCACGCCCCCATCCTACCTTCTTCCACTGAAAACCCCACAGGGTGGTCTAGCATGCACACCTCTTGGTTTTCTTGTGGATGCCAGGGACCATTCAGGGCACTGGATGCCCTGAACCCTTCCCAGAAATGCCTGATAAGCAAAGGCTCTCAACATCAGTCACCACATCAGTGAGGCCTCAGAGGCAGAGCTCTGTCTGCCTTGGTGATGTTCTGTTGCCCTGCTTTTTTTCTGAACAACAGACATTGAGGCTTTAGGCTTAAGGGCGATGCCCAAGGCCTCAGGCATGGCCAGCACTTGACCCTCTGTGCCTCAGTCTCTCCATCTGTGGAAGGGGGCTAATAACTCCTTCCTGATGAGCCTTTTGTAAAGATCAGGAGTTAAAGGCACTGTGGATGCCTCACCAGGGCCTGGCTGGCAGTAAACCAGCCGCCACGTACCCCACCCAGCCCCCACACTGGCTCTGACCCACTGGCTTCTTTGGCATCTGCCTGGGGCCTCTGCACCTGTGCTCCTACTAAATAGTGCTTTTGACTTTCAAAAGCTTGCTCCTGATTGCCCCCCTGACCGGTGTTCAGAACAGAAACATGTCACCAGTTTGCAGCGGGCACATTCAGGACGGAGAGTACTGGCATTCGCTTATCAAGCACGCCTTTTGGCTGATGTCTAGGCTCAGCAAGATGGGGCGCTCTCCTACCCTGGGCAGGGTCCTCGAAAGCGTCCAGTGTGCTGAGCAAAATCTTCCCCAGGGCTCTCTTCGATATGTTCTTTAAAAGAAATGAAGACAGGACTGGGTCAGACCATGGCTGTGGTGTCCTCACTCAGCAGCTGGAACCTGGTGGCCTATGGCAGCTTCCATACAGCTAGGGACTGACAGTGCCCAGTAGCCTGATGCAAGGAGAAGCCACCCAGGGTTCAAGTTCTATCCCAACCTCACATCAGCTATATAATCCTGGGCAACTTAGCCAAGTTCCTAAATATTTTTTTCTTTTGAAATGAGCTTGCCTATGATTGTAGGTTAGACCCTTCATCTGGCTAAGAAAGGTCTCTCCTATTCTCAGTTTGCCAAGAAGTTATAGGCAAAGAACTGAATTTTATCTGTTGCCTTTTCTGTAAGCACTGAGATGATCATATGGTTTTCTCCTTTAATCTGCAATGTGATGTGTCATGGTAAAAAGTTACGTGATGCAGAATCATCCTAGAAGTCCTTGGAGAAATCCAGCTAGGCCATGTCACTTTTTTTCCCTGGTGCTGGGGATGGAACCCAAGACCTCATGCGTGTTAGGCAAATGCCCTGCTGCTGAGCTACGTCCCAGCCTTCTGTGTCGCATTTCTTTAAACACTGCTGGATTTGGTTACCCAGTGTTTTCTTTCATAATTTTGCAGCTGTGTTGACACGTGATGTTAGCACATAATTTTCCTTTCTTGTATTTATCCACTTCTGGTCTTGAAATCCCAAGTTACATCAGATTCCTAAAACGACCCAGGGAGGCTCCGTCCCACTCTCCTTGGCTTCCCTGCACCTCCATTCTGCATCTGCAAAGTGCGGTGGCACCTGCCAGCTGTGAGGAGGCCCAGAGCCCGGCTCCCTCCCCGCAGGCGCCTGCTGCCCGGAGCCTACCAGGTCTCGGAGGCTCTGCAGGAGCTGCAGGACATCTACCAGTTTCTCCTCCAGTAGCGACAGCCGCACCCGCTCCGTCTCCACCATCTGCAGCTCCAGCCGCAGGTTCTCGTTCTCAGCCACCTTCTGCTGCAGTTCTGTCTGGGGAGAAAGAGGCTCAGTGCTCATCCTGGTGCCCTCCCCACAGTGTTCACCCCAACAAGGGCCCTGGCCTGCCCGATCCCTTGGCTGCTATTATTTCATCTGGCTCCCCTTACCTGCCAGGTGGCTGGCAGATAAACTACCCTGATTCCCCAAGCTTGGGGCTGAGGCCCAGAGAAGGTGAGCGCCTGGTCCAAAGTTGCACAGCAAGTTTGTATGTTTTGTTTCCCAGTTTGAGGACTTCAGTCTTCCTTTTCTGTAGCCATCACATTTCTGTTTAATACATTTGTGCTTGTGGCAAACAACAGAAACCCATCTGGCTGGCTTAAACAGGGGATGTACTGGTAGGTAATGGGCAGTTCCCAGGCTGGACTGGTGCTCAGAGAAACTCAGAAAGGGGGAAGCTGTGAGGTGGACACAGCAGGAGCATCCCAAGCCTCTTGTCTAGGAGCCACTGTTAAAATGGACACTATCCAAAACTGGGCATGGTGGTACAAGCCTGAAATTCCAGCATTCCAGGAGGCCGAGGCAGGAGGACAGCAAATTCAAGGCCAACCTGAGTAACTTAGTAACTTAACAAGACCTTTTCTCAAAACCAAAACTGAAAACAAGGTCTGGGGTATGTAGCCCAGTACAAAGGCCATGAGTTCAAATCTCAGTACCACAAAAACCAAAACAAAACAAGAGACTCTCCAACCATGTCCTCCACTTCTTCCAGATAGAAGGCCTCGAGAGAGCCGTTCACCCTTGTGACGCAGTAGCACAGCACATCATTTTGCCCATTTTACAGATGGGGAAGCAGAGGCAGAGAAAACTTTCCCAAGCTCACACAGGTAATAGAGCAAGATTTGAAGCCAGCAGTCTGGCTCCAGCACATACCCACCACGCTGTGCCTGTCAGCGCTAGCTTCCTGTTCTGGTGAGCAGCTTTTCTTCCCAGTCAGGTTCTGTTTGTTACATAAAAAACCCAGGAGGCCATTGTTCTGGACTAAGCTCCTATATTGGGCCTCAACAGAGCAGGCTAAAAATAAAAATGGAGCCACTTGTGCTAAAGTTCCATGACAATGAACCCAAACTAAGTTGCTAAGTGACCTCCTGAGTAATCAGGAGAGAGTTGTTAGTCAGATTTCCCAAACAGGCCAGTCTCACTGGCACAATAATGCACAATTGTCCCTCGAGTCACAAATTTAATTCTTTCCATGATGCTGGTCAGAAACTGAGTCGGACAAGAAGCGAATCGAATTCAATGGTTAGGTTCAATGTTGACCTTTGTGGGGAAATCTAATTCGGTTCTCATCCAGTTTGGTTTGTGACCAGAATCATGGAGGGAATTGAGTTTGTGAACCAGGGTACCACTGTATTCCCACTCACTTAACCCTTACACACAGAAAAACTAACCCGCAGTAATCTGATATCAACCCGTGAGCTCCATTTCTGTTAGTCCCTCCCCCTGCCCTGCCCGTAGGAGAAAAGTAACTGTAGCCACCCTGACCATCTGCCCTCCACCCTCCGCCGCTGCTTCCCTTTCCTGCCTGAACCCAGCCTCCCCTGCTTAGTTCCTTGGGACACCTGTTCTGAAAATGGAATTAGGTGGTGCTTGGTTCTAGAATCCCAAAAAGCCAAAAGGAAATCTTAAAATTGGTAGAACTTTGCCCTTTGGAGACTTTGAGGTTTTCAGGGCTTATGACAGAGAAGCCCTCCCAGCCCAGGGAGGCCAGACGTGGCAGCCTCATCCTCCGGGAAGGTGTACGAGCACCTCCGTCATTTTCTTCCCACACTCAGATCTCGGCTCAGTGTCAGCAGGATCGTGGTCTTTGTTCCTTGATGGAGGGCATGGCTACTGGTTTCACTGGTGCGCTGGCGTGGCTGAAGCTGTGATCTCCCAGCCCTCACTTCTTCACACCCTTCCTTACCTCATCTGGCTCTTGGAACAGAAAATGATTTTCTTTTTCAGTGCTAGGGATGGAGCCCAGGGCCTTACACATGTAGGCAAGGGCCGCACCACTGTGCTGCAGTCCCAGCCCTTGGACATAAAACTTAAGAAGCTAGAGCTGCTTCATGCCACACAAATGTTAAAAAATAGCACAGCCCAGCGTGATGGCAACTGCTTATAATCCGAGCTACTCAGAAGTCTGAGAGGCAAGAGGATCATGTGTTCAAGGCCAGCACGAGTAATTTAGCAAGACTGTTCAAACAAAGTAAAAAAGGGCTGGGGATGTAGCTCAGGGGTAGAACACTTGTCTAGCATATGTTAGACCCTGGGTTTAATCCCTAGGACAGGGAGAAAAAAAAGCACAGATTTAGAATTTCAGATATGTAAATATAAATCTATCTTATATCAAAACCACAGTTTGCAAAAGTACAGTGGACCAAAGCTTAGACAAAGCAAAGATAACTGTCACAGCCTGGCACATTGAGTTCCTGCGAGGTAGAAAAGTGAGCAGAGGCCAGAGTGAGACACCGTCAGGTGTCACTGAAAACTGCGGGACTTGGAAGACAAGCCTGTCACGGGCCCGCCCCTCTATGGCAGGGATTGGCCAGGGATGGGCACGTGATGGAAGCTGGGCCAATTGGAGCTCTGCTTGGGATTTCCCGTATTCAGTGAGACTCCTTTTCCCTGGGCTTTTCACCTGGGCTGCTCATCCTCCAACCTTTCTAAGCAAGGACCGTGAGGCCAGAACCCAGGGCACAGCAACGTGGATAGGAGGACACCATGCAGTGTGAGTCCCGCACGCAGCTCTGGAGGTCTTAGCTCCGCAGTCTCATAAATTCCTGTTTGGCATTCTGGCTAATCTGAGATGGGATCCTTCAACTTGTGACCAAAATATTTCTCATTAAATCTAAAACAAAGGAAATCACATCTCCGTGAATCCGGGTCCCTCGTGAATGGGGTCAGGGCCTTCCAACTGCAAGAGACTCTGGCACTGGCCGAGTCCTGGTCTCGGGTCCTGCTGACCTCCTCCACGCGTGGTTCCAGGCTCTTCCCATCGCAGCCCTGGATGTCCAGCTGCTCCAGCAGCTTGGCGACATGGGTCTCCAGCTCTCCGGGGGTGCAAGTGTGCTCACCACCATAGCGGTCCAAGTACATCAGCAGCTTTCTTGCCGTCTGGTCGTCGCACCTGAGAAAGGAAGAGTGCTGGGCACTTGGGGGTTGGGTGCAAGCTGCTGCTCCTCAGAGAGCAGACTGCCTTCCCACCACTTCCTCCTAAAGTCAGATGCAACACCATCGCTCAGCACCTTGCTGGGGCCCCTTACCATCAGGAAACACCAGAGGCCTCATGGCCTCTCTGATCGCCTCCCACCCACCGCCACTAGCCCTGCTCCAGCCACAGTGGTGGCCTCCTGCTGTCCTTTCAACAAGCCCCAGGGCTTTTGCACTTGCCAATCTCACTTCGTGGAAGCCTCTTGCCCCAACATCTGCATCGTTCATGTCCTCATTTCCTTCAGCTCTCTGCTCAGATAGCACCTTCTCAGAGAGGCTTTCTCAGTATCCCCATCCCACCCCTTGTACCCTGCTCTCTCTTCTTCCCACTCACTACACAGAGGATTCAGGACAGGACTGCTGTCTTCATGACAGTTATTTTCTGTCTCAAATCATGCCTGGCACATGATAGGTGCTTGATAAGTGCTTGCTGTTGACATAGAGAATTGGTGATAACAACTTTAGGAAATGGACAACCCTTCACAACATAATAGTAAGTGCACCGTGTACCTTCGACTGTGCTTCGGACACCTGCAAGGTAATTTACATCCTGATCTCAAGTCCCCACAGAGCCTATGTGAGTGTCCCAACTTCAAGAGGAGAAATCAGGCTGCCTGTCAGAGTAGTGCAGGGGCCCTGGGCCTGTCCCTGTTCCCCTCCAGATTGACCACAAGGATTAAACCTGTGGGTACATAGGAAAGCAGCAGCGGGGCCAGGCTGACGGGCTGCACAGTGTCACAGGAGCAGGGGTAGAGAGTGACAGGAGAGCTTTGGGGCATGTTTTGGGACAGTGGCTACAGGGCGACTGTCCTTTCAGACCATCCCGTTTCCACTTCACGCCGTGGTCTCTTCCTCCCTCCAACACCACAGCCCTCCGGGCCGGCAGTGGATAGAGACTAGAATTGACCCAGGGCCCTCACCCCCTAGTTCAGCTGTCAGTGAGTGAAAGAACCTGCAGATGGAACCCACCCTTGGGACCCACCCTCCTGACAACCTGTGGCAGCCCAGGGCCATAGTAGCAGGTCCTAGCTTCACCTCCACACGTACCTGCTCCAGCAGCCCAAGGGCCCTGCCTCAGCCTGGGGCGCCGGCCTCTCCACCTCCCGCCACTTCTGTTCTTCTTCCTCTTCATCAGAGGCAGCCTGGCCCTCCACAGAGCGGAATAACTGCTCGTCCTCTGCAGGAGAAGCAAGATGCAGGGACAAGGGACACTGGGAGGGAGTGGACAGCCAGACCATGGAGGAAACCCCGCAAGTGGTCAGAGGAGAGGGCTCTGGCACCCTCTCCCGCTTGAGCAGACAGCGGCTCCCTGAGTCCCAGCTTCTGTGAGGTGAGGCACCATCGCTGGTGTTGTCCCCTCCATGTGACCAGCCCGGGAGTGGAGCTGGCCAGACATAGGGACTCTGCGAGGGACATCCTAATGTTCTTCTGTTTTCTCAAATGACTCAAGCCAGGACTATGGCTGAACGATGAGCACTTTCATCTTAGGACATGGTGACCTGGTCAGGGAAGGCCAAGGCTGTCCCTTACGAGCTCGGGTGCACTCTGCCAGGTGTGGAGGACCACTCTGGACAGCTTTCAGCTCTCATGTTTGGGGGATGCAAAGGAAGGGGACATCCTGCGTGTGACCATCTGTGGTCCCCAGTGCTGCTGTGTTTTATCGCTGAGCTTTGGGCATTAGGACCCTGGTGGGGGCCTGTGTCCTCCTGTCCAGTCCCTTCCCTGGGTCAGCCTCAAGTCTCCTCAGGGATGCTGCCCCTTCTCCTCCACCCCAGCTCTAGCGGCACATGGTCAGGCTTGGCCAGTCACAGGCAGGGAGGGCTGAGGACCCTGTGGGGGCCAGTGAGAGCCAGCAGGAGGGATACGTGCTAACTGTGGCTCCGTGCAGAGGAGCATAAGCCAGGTCCTGTGTGACATGGGGTTCCACGGCTGTGTTACCAGGCCCTGGGCCTTACAAGGACTCCCATTATGTGAACTGTTAGGGTTGAATGATCTGACATTTGCAGACAAGCAATGTCTGACCTGGTACAGGGACTTAAACCCAGGTGTAAGTGTTCCCTACCCTCTGTGTGGGAGATCGGGATGGCCTGACGTCTGTGTAAAGGTTCCTGGGTGCTCCGGGCCTGGGCAGGTTTGGGTACCTCAGATTCAGGGAGGCCTGGCCCTGGACACCCCCCACTCTCACCTGGCTTTTCCCTTAGGACGTGCCCAGGAATCTTCTGCTTTGATTTAAGAAGCACCAAGGACCAGGCCTCACATCCACCAGCTGCTTTGGGGCCGGGCCCTTATGACAGTGGCCCCAGGAAAGGGCCCCTGTGGGACAAGCATCCCAGCGTGAGCAGCTGGGGGTTGGGGGTTCCATCTGGGGGCAGCTGCAGCATCAAGGTAGCACTGAGGCAGACAACCCACCGAGCAGGACTGGGGCAGGCACACCTGCCGCGCACCAGGTGGCTAGCTGGGCAGCAGAGACAAACCTTCATCCAGGGCTCTGCTCCCCCAGCTGCTGCCTGACTGTCCGGCTCCCTCCAGAGTGGCATCTGGGTCTTGGGTCCCACTGTCCTCCGGTTTATCACTCTTGTCTCCTGGCTCTGGGCTGGCTCGTGGAGGTGTCCGGACCTGGCCCCCTTCTGCCCTGTGGGCAAGAGGACAGATTAGGTGCCGAGAAGGAGGAATCACATGAATTGCTGGGTCAGGCTTTGCCTAAAGTCAGGGTATCTGAGTTCGATCCCCAGTACCAAATAAATAAATAAATAAATAAAGTCAGGGGTATCCCTAGAGTTTGTGATAAGCTCATGATTCTTGATTTCAACGGTTTTGTGTTTAAAGCATGAGAATGTGGCTTAGGAGCAGCAGTCAGTGTGAAAACCCTCTGGCTGGGGATTCTTGTTACAATGTCAGGCCGAGGGACTAGCACTTCAGTCACATTAACTGAGGTCTAACTGGGGAGGCGACAGTCCTTTTGTATTCCAAAGGCTCTAGACCACAGCCCGGAGAGGAGAAGCATAGGGGCATAAGGCCATCGACCCCAAGACTCAGAAGTGGAAGCTCTCAGCCCTCCACACCCAACCCAGCCCTGGAGTTGAGAGCCCTGTTCCAGGTGCCACTTCCTGCGGGAACAGCACCACGATGGTGACTGCAGCTTTCACGTCTGCCTAGCTGCCAGGCACCGTGGTCAGTGCTGGAGACATTTCCCTCCCAGTGACACAGAAGGGCACTGACCTCATTGTCCCCATTGCACAGAGGGAGACAGTGATGTGCAGAGAGCTTCAGGAAGCCCCGCGGGCTACACGATAGAAATGGAGGAGCTAAGATCAGCTCTCAGGCTGGCAGCACCAGGCAGTGCGGGACCTTAGAAAGCCAGCTTTGAACCACCCAGCTGCTGCCCTCATTAGGCGACTCCATGTCACATGTGAGGAAGCTGGGAAGAGGAAGCCACTGAGGACAGAGCCATTTAGAAAGAGGACAGATGAGGGCATCCTCTGAAATTTTCCAAGAAGTAAAATACAGTGGCAGAGAAACAACACCAAGTAGATCTTGGGGTGCTGCTCTTGTCCATTGATTGGAATTCGCTGCTTCTGGTGCTGCCCCTCTCTCTGCAGGACCCTTCACAGGACCCACAGGGTGACCAGCAACCGCCTAGTCTCCTTGCCCCTCCTCCCCTGGCCTACGCCCACTGTGGCCCCTGGACCACTTCCCTTTGGGAGCCATTTGGGGAAGCAGAGGCTTCTGGGAGCAGGAGAGATGCCTTCCACCCAACCAGTGCTGCTGAGCGCCTCCCCAAGGCTCAGGCTGCTTCTGGGGAAGGTGGGTACTGGTGGCTGTCCACTCTTCCGTCCCACCCTCACTTCCTCAGATCCCAGAGTCCTCCTGTGCCTTTGGGTGTTCCCGCCAGCTGGCCACATCTGCACGCCTCCCAGAACCCCACGGCGAGCCTCTGATGTCTCCGTCCTGCTGGAGGCCGTGGCCACATCTGGCTGCCAGCCCAGCGGCTTACTCAATCTGACAAGGGCCAGATGTTGCTCCTTTCCTTCCCAGGGTCCTAGCAGCTCCTGGTTCCATGTGACAGTCCCCTCCCTCAGCACTGTGATACAAAGAGACAGGTCTCGGGCTACCACACCTAGGTTCAGCCCTGTAGGACTGTGGCTTTCCTGTGTCACTTTACCTACCCACTCATCAGGAAATATCGGGGGACTTCACCCTATGCTGTGCTGGGCCTGGGAGCACTATGGAGACGAAATAAACTAACGCTGAGCTTCAGACCTGTACAGCTCCTGCCCCCATTAGGATCGGAGATGATTTTAGGTAGCACTTGGATGAACAGTGTACGTGTGTGTGTGTGTGTGTGCACATGCACGTGTACGTGGGTGCTTGTGTGTGTCTTAAACAGGCATTGATTTTAATTTCTACTAAGGAAATTAACGAGCACATCAATCAAATTTAGTTTTACATTCATGACAGTGATGTAACTTCTTTTTTAAATTATTTAAGTTGGGTTGTGGGTATAGCTCAGTACTAGAGCACTTGCCTAGCACATGGGAGGCCCTGGTTTGATCCCCAGCACAACAGGAAAAGAAAAGAGTAACAAGGATGAGCTAATTTAAGGGAAAATAGTAACTAAATATATTATGCAGCTGCGGGCAAAAACGGACTCAGATCTTAGGAGAACATGTGAAGTTTGGTGAATGCCTAAACACAGTACACATGTTCTGGGCAGTGTTAGACCTGAGCTCTCCTTGCCTCTTGGCCTCTCTCTGTCCCTCATAGCAGAGGACCGCAACACTAACAAGCAGACACCTTTTTCTACAGAGCCACAGTTCGGATCGCAAGGGGCCCCCATAGGCCCATGAGGCTTAGTCCCCAGTAGTACTTTTGGGAGGTGGTGGAGCCTTTAATAGGTGGGGCCTATTGGGAGGAAGCAAGGTCTTTGGGGGGAGAGGCCTTGAAGGGGATTGGTGGCCCCAGCTTCTGCCCCTCTCTTTGCTTCCTGGTCAGGAGGCAAACAGTTTTGCTCTGCCACATGCTGGGCACCACACAGGCCCAGAGCAACAGGTCCAACTTGCGGTGGACTGAGACCTCCAAACTGTGAGCCACAAATATACCTCTGTCCTCTGTCTTTGTCTCCCTGCGTCTTCCTTCCCCTCCCTCTCTAGCCTTCATGCTGGAGACTGAATTCAGGGCCCATGCCTGCTACACGCATGTTCTGCCATGAAGTACACCCTCTGCCCCAAGCTTTTCTCTTCCCAAATTAACCATCACAGGTGTTTTCTTTGTTTGGGTTTTGGGTTTTGGTTTTTTGACACAGGGTCTCACTATGTAGTTGAGACTGACCTGGAACTCACTATGTAGCCCAGGCTAGTCTTGAACTCACAGCGATCCTCCTGCCTCAGCCTCCCGAGTGCTGGGATTACAGGGGTGCACCGCCACACCCAACCATCACAGGTATTTTCTAACAGTGCCGAGGACTGGCTAGTGCAGATGGGCACTTTGGAATGTCCCTCCTACTATCCTAAAATGAGCTAGATAATATTATGCCCTGCTTTCACATCACATTTGAAAAAATGAATGTGATGGTGTCCTAACAGTTATTTAAATTAAAAAGAAAAGTATACATTGCAATATGAATATTCATGCATAATGAAGTTTTCAATATTTAATCTACTTATAATTGCTATGTTTGAATTCAACAGGGGTAAGGTAATATTCACTTGAACACTGTTGATGCTCTTTTCCTGGATTTAACATTTTGAAACCAGGACTAAGAAAATACATTCAGGTAGGTAGGTAGATAGGTCGGTAGGTAGACGGGTGAAAGGGTGGTTGGATAAGCAGACAGACGCACACACAGACTCACGCGGACAGACGGTAAGCACTGCTGGTGGACACGGGCATCCCTCATTAGCCGGGTAGGGGCCACAAGTGCTGTCACTGTCTGTGACCTGGTTCTGATATGAGCAGCTCTCGGGAAATACAAACAGAATGAAGTGCAGCCTTTCCTCGAGTCACAAAGTCTTGCACTCATGACAAATTCTTTGTATATTAAAACCATGCAGAGACAGTTGTGTTTATACACAGAGGAGAGTTAGCCTTTCACAGTGAGAACAAGCCTTTCCCAGCACGGATGTCCACTGGGACACATGGAAGTCATGTGGGGTACAGGACCTGTCCAGGGCTGTGTCCCCGGCAGGACCCCAGGGGTCAGGAGCCCTGTCCTCCTAAAGACAATGGGACAAATCTTCCCTGCACCCTGCAGAACATCTCTGGGGACGCGCTGATGTCATGGAGTGCCCCCCGTTCCTGATTCCTACCCTGATCGTGGCCTCATGCCCCACAGGGCAGCCCAGTGCTCACCCTGTGGAGTGGGACTCAGAGGCTGCCGGGCCAGCCCACGGGACCACGCCAGGCCCGGAAGAGTGGATGCAGGGTCCCTGTCTGTCGGTGCCTAGCTGGTCCACAACTCCCCAGCCCCTCTGCCAAGGATCCTCTGGGTCTACACAGCTCCACTTGTCTCTGTGCAAGCCTGGGTCAAGTCCTGCACCCCTCTTTCAAGTGCAGTCACCGCGGCTCACAGGATGAAAGTCAGGGTTAATACAGGTCGTCTCTCCCCAACTCTCATCGGCACGGGCACTCGATGAAGCAGCCCTTCCGCCCTGTGCCCACAGGATCCTCTTTGTTCCTTTTCCTTCTCCAATACTCATTTCTTTTTTGTCCAAAACTTCAAGTAAACATGTGAACGTCGGCAGTGGTTCATCCCAATTTGAAATGATCTGTACCCTCCATATGGCAGCCGCTAGTCATATGTGGGCACTGAAACTAATTAAAATTAAATAAAACTAAAATTTCGGTCCCTCAGGCATACTAGCTCCACTCCAGATGCTCAGCGGTCATGCATGGCTTATGGCCACAGAACTGGGAGGGTGCAGACAGGAAGCACAGCCATGGTCCCAGAGAGCTGGGTCAACAATATCCAGTAGAGGACAAAAGCTTGGGTTGGAAGTTAAAGGACTACTTCATCGTCTCTTGGCCCAGGATCCTAATTCTCAGGTGTGCATCACCATTGTAAACCCTTATCACGTCTGTGCAGTGAGAAGCCTGCTTAGACTGTCATGACCTGAACCCAGGACTTTACTCTGTTGTTCAGATCAACACAAAATAATCACAAGCGACACTCCTGCCACCACCACGGCTCTGTGCGGTTTCCGTGTGCCCCCCAAAGTTCAAGTTCATCCTGAAATTGGTGTGGTGACGGTATTTGGTAGGGGGACACTTGGGAAGGCACTGGGGTCTGATGATCTTGTAAGGTGGGGCCCTCATGATAGCATCAGTAGCTTTACAGAAGAGGCCCAAACTAGCCTGCTGGCTCAGGCCCCATGCCATGCCCGTGGTCTTGGACTTCTCGGCCTCCCAAACTGTAAGCTGAATAAACTTACAAATTAGCCAGCCTCAATGGTTTGTTCTAGCAGACAGACTAAGCAGGTCCCAAATCTGTGGGTGTATTTGACTGATGATCATATCACCAAGGTGAACATGATAGGGCGTCTGTCGGGCTTCCAGGTCCCATGCGAATGAACACAGCCACCCTCACTCTGTGGAGAATACCAGGGCTGGGCCCCTGCCCACACCTGAAAGGGTGAA